AAAAAAAAATCACAAAAATTGCTGGAGAAGTCATTGTTGTTTTTGGTTGAAATACTGAACACTTTCCAACCACTCTCAATGCATTGATTTTTGAGGGGTTCTCATTTTGTCATAAAATGGAAAAGCAAGGCATATATACAGCTAGCACTGTTTCTTTTGTGTATTTAAAAATAAAGTATTTTAAAGATCTCCCCAACAGCTAAAAATTGACTAAAATTTTAACTAGGAATAACTTCCCACAGCATAACTGACACACTTAGAAGGGGCTTTGAATAACAAAAAATAAACCTTGGGTTTACTATCCTGTTAGTACCAAAGCATTAAAGGAGTGCAAGATTTTATAGACACGTATAAGGAGCAAAGTTAATACCTGGCTTATACATAATGAAGCAGCCTATCGTTATAAAAATACTTTATCATTTATAAAGACACACTGTTTTTAAGGTTTAGCTTAATGATTATGCTGCACCCTAGCTTAAATCAGGGTATTAACATACCGTATAATGGCATACAAAAATTACTTAAGAAAAACAAAACAATTTATCCCACAAAAATCTTACTAAAATGTCCCAGCAACACAACAGTGAATTCAAGTTTTATGTACAACACTGCAAGAAAATTATTTTTGTTTTTATGAATCTTTTACAATATTTCAATGAGGTGATAAACTTTTACAATAGTAAACAAATTTTGGTAAAGGTTATTTAAGAATGAGATTATTGTTTCATCTCCAATGACAAACCATTTGCCTTCCTTAAAAAAAAGGGAAAGGATGAATCTTTCTGCTCTACAGCAAGAAACATCTTTACATTCAGAAGAAGGTTATCTGGAGACAGAAACTGTGCTGAGCACAATATTGATTCTACCCGTTGCATCTTCCATTAAGATTTCCAACATTTCCTGCCTGTGTAGTGCTTAATGGAAGGTGGGCTCCCAAATGACTTAAAATCCCCTTTGAGATTACACAAAATGGACTATCTGTAAAATTTAAGCTAGATTTTGTTTTGGTAGATGTTAAACAAGAATATATGATACTGCCTCCATTAAAAAAATGTAATACAAAGTGTAAACTTGTACAACTTCAGCAGCATTTTCCAGTCCTTCATAGCGAAACAGCAAT